TTGTCTTCCAAATTTCTTGGCAGAGATGAGTGAGTGCCTCCTGTGCCGCCTCACTTTCCTGAAAGATTTCAATTTTTATTCCATCAATTCCTGGTGTATAAATAAAGATATACAGCCTTGGAAACCCTGTGCAGGGTCACTATGAGTCGGAACCGACTCCACGGTACTTAACAACAACATATGTAGCTGAAGGAGCACTAATGGTGTAATGGTTAAACACTTGACTGCTAACCAAAAGGTTAGCAGTTCAAACTCACCTAACAACTCTATAGGAGAGAAGACCTAGTGATTTGCCTAGGAAAGTCTATAGGCAGTTCTACTCTTTAGGGTTATTATGAGTCAGAATCTAATTGATGCACACAACATCAACATATGTAGGTGGTAGATATATGGGCATTTGTTAATAAACTGTTTTCATGTTTATGTTTGAACTTTTTAATTATACAAAGTTATATGTATATATGTGTATATATATATGTTGTTGTTAAGTGCCGTTGAGTTGATTTCAACCCATAGCCACCTTATATAGGGTTTCCAAGGAGCAGCTAGTGAGCGTGAACCACCGACCTTGCAGTTCAAACAACTTTGCAGTCTGACTCATTAGCCCACAGGGTCACAACAGTATCTATATAACTATAATATATATATATGTATATGCAAATTAAAGCTACAGTGAGATATTGGCTTTTACCCATCGATTCACAAAAGAAAAAGAAAGTTTGAAATACGCTTTGTTGACAAGGATGTAGGGAAATGGCATTTTCATGGATTATTCGTTTTTGTTGTTCAATGCTGTCGTGTTAGTTCCAACTCATAGGGACTCAGTATAGGGTTTCTGAGGAGTGACTGGTGGGTTTGAACTGCCGACACTGGGGTCACAACCCAGTGCTGATCCTTACAGCGCCATACCAGGAGTTAGTAGGGATTATAAATAAGTCCAAAGGCGTACCATTTGACCCAACAATTCCACTCCTGGGAATCTTTCATACAGATTTTACTCAAACACGTTCACAATATATATGAATAAGGACATTTATGCCATGTTACTTTTGTAATAGAACATTAGAAACAGCATACATTCTTTTGTCTGCATGTCTGTTAATAAGAGGTGTTAAATAAGTTTGTTATGGTGCATCCATGCAGTGTAGACTGTTTCAAAGTATAGGTTAGGTCTATTGAGCTGACAGAAAACTCTTTTCCATCTTGTTAAGTGCAAAGAGTGAAGAACAGAGCACTATCTGTCTTATTTATGACTGCATCTCTCATGCCTAACAAAGTGCTTGTCATATAGTAAGTGCACAATTAATATTTGTTGAGTGAGTGGATACACATTTGGGTGTGGCGTCTGTGAATCAGACTACCTGGATGCAGTGAGTTCTCAGACACAGCCCTAGGCCAAATGTTCCACCTCCATCAAATTTCCAAGGCCTTATTCTCCTAGATTCACAGACATTCGAGCTTTCCTTTAAGACACAGCGTACTCTTCTTTGCAAAATCAAACAGTGAACAATTAAAGACTTCGAAGAGGAAGAAGAGACAAAACTTTCAGAAATGAGTGACAAATATGATTTGCTGGACCAGGGATGGTCATGAAACAACTTGGATTTAATAGAAAATATAGCTCTAAACTTCCCGGCAGTCAAGGCAAAGAAGGAACCCCATGGGTCACAGAGCTTTTATTATCTGGTATAAGGAAACTGACTCGTCAAGAGTCTATCTGAAGAATCTGCCTGGGGAGTGTTATACCCGGGAGTTTTGGGCAGCATGACCCAGGGTGAAACTGAGAAGCATACCTTCTTGAGCATCGATTTCTCTCAAAGATAAATACCTGAAGATATAATATTTATAGTAAGAAAAGCATGCTGTTTATATAAAATGGATTAAGGAATTTGGGGTGACATCCATGGCTGTTTAGTAAAGACTATGTAGTAGCAAAAACATTCCAGGTTTTTGTTGGGCTCCTGGAACAATGACTTTAGGGGTCTGAGCCTCACCTACCTCACCTGTAAGAGAATGGTTACTGTGCAGGTGAAGTGAGATGATGCAGGTAAGTACTAGGTGGATAAATGCTTGCTATGCTGTATAGAGCCAGACTGCCTGGGTTTGAATCCCAGCTCTACTACTTACTAGCTACGTGACTTTGGACAAGGTCACATAACCATTCTATGCCTCAGTTTCCTCCTCTGTGCAATGTAGCAATAAGATGCTTCTAAGGTTAACTACCAGCTGTTCCACGGGAGAAAGATGAGGCTTTCTGCTCCCGTAAAGATTTACAGCCTCGGAAACCCTGTACAGGGTCACTATGAGTCGGAACCAACTCCACGGCACATAACAACAACAACAAGGTTAAATGAAATGGGACTCCCAGTATGGTGCTGTAGGATCAGCACCGGACTCTGAACCACAAGGTCAGCAGTTCAAACCCACCAGCAGCTCCTCAGAAACTCTATACAGAATCCCTATGTGTCAGAACAGACTCAACAGCACTTTATAAGAGCAGCAAGGTTAAATAAGAAGAGACCCTAGAAGCGTGTGCCTGAGCACACAGTAAGTGTTGTGTTAAATCATAGCTTGTTCCCCTTTGCCCATAGAGGCCCGTGAGGGGTAGAGTTGGAAAATCACAGCCTCAAAGACAGACTATTTCCAGACACTGCTTTCTAAAAGGAATGGAATTCTAGAACATCAGTTGTAGGGAGGCACAAGGTGTGTCTACAATGGTGGAATCTCGGCAGCGTGACTGGCCAGATAAGAGTTGGTTAGGGGACATGGCCCACCTGCTAGGGCTCCTCACACCTTTCCTAGGAGCCCTACGGATAAGGCAGGCTGGCTTTCCGGGCGCGGGCCAGGGGCGGACCAAGGGAGGGGAGGGAAGGAGCTCCCGGGATCCCCTCGCCCCTCCCCCCTTGGCCCAGTGAGTAATGACATTCACGGAGCAGGGAAGGAGGGGGGGAAGGAGAGGGGCAGGCTCGGCGAGGCCATGTGATGCTGGGCGAGAGCGAGCCGCCGCCGCCCGCCGGAGCCTCCTTCCCTCACTCTGATCCCGGGCTGTCATGGCGACCCCCAACAACCTGACCCCCACTAACTGCAGCTGGTGGCCCATCTCGGCGCTGGAGAGCGATGCAGCCAAATCAGTCGAGGCCCTCGACGCGCCGGAGGCGGCCAGCCCCGCCCATTGGCCCAAGGAGAGCCTGGTTCTGTACCACTGGACCCAGTCCTTCAGCTCGCAGAAGGTAGAGCCGGAGGGAGCCGGTGCGCCTGCTGGCTCAGAGGGCTAGGGAGGGTTGCGGGCCAGAGGGCTGCCCAGAGACTGGAGGGTGGAGAATGAGGCTTGGGGGTTCCAGAGGGCTGGGAGATACTGGCCCTATCTGGGCCCTCGGAGCTTCCATTCTGCCTCCTTCACTCCCAGAAAGACCCGACCTGTCAGGGGGCTGAGAAGACAGACAAAGGCTAGGGGTAGGGAATGGGCGCTGCTGGGAGCCGGCCTGCTTGGAGGGGGTTGCTGCGGAGAGGGGGGAGGAGCGCTTCCCGGGGTCCAGCCTCCAGTCCCGGGATCCCCAAGCAGGCCCTCCCTGCGCGATGCTGTTCCAGACACTGCCGGTCCCCAGACCACAGCCTTGTACCCCTCTGCCAGGTTGGGCACCTTCTTCTGACTGGGGCTTGGAGGGCGGTCCCCAACCTCCCCCCACCTCCTTATCTTGAGCTGGGAACGAAGGAGTTAATCCACCCACTCAGACTAGCTCGGCTCGGCTCGGGCCGGTGAGATGTGTGTTTTGCTCTTAAAGGCACAGGGTGGTCTTGAACCTTCTTCACCTTCTCAGATCTAGGGGAGGTGGGGGCAGTTGGAAATCCAGACTGGTGCTGTGTTCTCGGTTCCCGCTTTCTGGGGTGAGGGCCTGGGGCTGCGCCTGAGACTGGGGCGCCTCTAGGGGCTCAATCTCCCACCCTGGGCGCCTGTCCCACGGCTGGGGCACGAATTCAGCACCATGGCCAGGGCCCAGCGAAGGGTCCTGCTGGGGCCTAAGCAGACCAACCCTCCGGTTCTTCTGGAGAATCCTTTTGTTCCTTTCGCCCATTTTCCAAATGCAGAAACAAATTCTGTAAAGACAAAGAGCCTTGGGACAAGAAGACTAGAGATTGAATCTTAGTTCAGGCTCATTGATCATATGACCTTTCTTTGATCCTCTGTTTCACCTGGAAAATGGGAACAACAATAATAGTAGCTACTTCTTCTCATGCCATCTGCTCCTCAGGGCTATTGTTAAAAGAGGCAGTATAACTTAGCATTCAAACTTGAGCGTGTATCAGAATCTCCGGATGATCCTGGCTTAAGCACATACTACTGGACCCACCCCAGAGATTCCAGTCCAGTTGGTCTGAGGTAGAGCCCAAGACGCTGCATTCCCAACAAGCTTCTAGGCAGCAGGTCCACGGACCACCCTTCTAGTAATCCTAGTTTAGAGGATAAATTCTGAAGCCAGACAGTCCCAATAGGTGATCCATCTTCCCCACTAACTCACTGGGGATCTTGGATAGATTAATTTGCCTCAGTTTTATAATCTGCACAATGGGGCAAATAGCAATACATGTCTCACAGGGTTATTGTAAGTGTGAAATGAGAAGATGAACAAAACAGTGTTGATGTGGTACCTGGATCAGGGTCAAGGTTCTGTTAGTAATGGATGTTGTGATATCATTAAAGTGCTAGGGTCAGGGTTAGCCAAGGTCACACTTGGACACATCCATGAATTTTGCACATGCTTGCTGAGTGCCTGTGTGGAGCTGAGGGGTTTGAAGATCCATCATGCTGATTGTGAAATTCAAGGTTCTTTTTCTACTCAGAGCCTCAAGAGTCATACTGCATATGACTGGAACTGGGCAGGGGGCAGGCAGCACCCACCTCTCACCACCACCTTGCTCTTACACCCAGGAAATATTTCCTGTTCATCCTGAGCTCAGGGCTAAAGTAGCCTCTTAGTTAGGGATAAAGCCACTTTGTCTCCAGCCCTCATCAATCAATCCTGGGCATCCGACTGCCTCCTCTCCCAGGGTCTTCCCCTGGCCCAGGGGCCTGTGAGTCAAGTGGGGTATCCAGTATATCTTGGAGGAAAGCACATGGGCTCTGCAGTCAAATGGTCCTGATTCTAATCTCAGCTTGGCCACCTATTGGATATGTGGGCTTCAACAAATCACTTCACCTCTCTGTGCCTCAGCATCCTAATCTGAAAAAAAGGAGACTCTTCAACCTACTCTGCAGAATTCCAGAGGTGCTGGGACATTTAGAGAGTATGTATGTGTATTTGTTAAATGACTGGCACATAGTAGAAACTTGTCAGGCAAGTTATCTTTGCTTTCGCCAGATCTGAAGGGACTTCATTGCATACAAGGATCTGTCCCTATTGTGGACAATCTGAGAATCCTGTCTTTGATTGCACAGACACTCATAATATTGAAAACAGTCTCCCTCTAGGAATGATGGTGGCTCCACCAGGGCTCTGGAGACCCTTTCAGACTCAGAGGGCATCAGGAAAGAGAAGGAGTCAAAAGCCCAGATTCTGGGAGCCAGAATATCCAGGCTCTGATCCCAGCTCCATCAGTGACCAACTGGTGGTCATCCTGGCCAAGTTGCTTTACCTTCGAATGCCTCAACTTCTCACCTCTGCAAAAGGAGAGTAAAAACAGTACCTCCTGGCAGGCTTGTTGTAAGTGTTGACCACATGTATCCATGTGAATCACCTAGAACAGTATCTTCACAGGAAGCACTCAGTAAGTGATACTGTGGTTAATAAAGACATGGGCTTTGGAGTCAGGTCAACTCCCATCAGCCACTTCTCAGCTATGTGATTTTGTAAAATATCATCATCTCTCCTAGTGTCTGCTTCCTTGTATGTCTGGGCAGGGTTGTGAAGATTAAATGGTATCATGTACAGTCACACACTAAACACAATGTCTTTTTAAATTACACGCTAATAGTAGACTTGCAGGCACCATCATGAGTGATCATTTGGGACCGTGGGGTTTGGAGGAGGCTCCAAATCAATTGGATAAATGTTAACATGCTTCTAAGGCTGTTTCTGTACCCAAGCTCCTTCTCTTCCTTCTTTGAGGGGAGAACATTCAGGGTCAGAGTGGAGCAAAAAGTGAGGGAGTCAAGAGACCAGGATTCTAATGCTGGCTCTCCCACTAACTAGTTGTGTAATTGTTGTTGTTGTTAAGTGCCATCAAGTCAGTTCTGACCCATAACAATCCTGTATAAGGGTTCTAAGAAGCAGCTGGTGAGCTTGAACCACCAATCATGCAGTTCAAACTGACTTTGCAGTCTAGCTCATGAACCCACAGGGCCACACCAGGACTCCTGTGTAGCTTCCCATGAGTCCTGATCCTCAGTTTCCACAACAGGGAAGCAGATTAGATGTTTGCTACAACCTGCCTCTCTCCCTCCACAGGTAGATAGACTTGTCTTACCTTCATGTGCCCAAGCCTCCATGCAGCCCTCTATCCTCACACCAGCCCATCTTTCAAAGTCAAGGTACTTCCTGTGTTTGTACTTCCATTTCCTCCTCTGCACAATGAACATAATAACATAATACTAGTAACTACCCAGTGGGGTTGTGGTAAGTATTACATGAGTTAACACAGGTGAAGTTCTTAGTGCCTGGCACAGAGAAATGCTAAATGAGGTAGTTATTATTACTGAGGTCGTTGCTATTGTTTCCACCATAGTGAATGTTTCTGAGGGCCACCACTGACTCCCCAACAGCAAGCCTGCTTCAAGGTTCTCTTATCCCATCCTCTCTGTATCTGTCCTGTCCTGAATACGTTTGTGGGGAACTCTGCCCCAGACTTCAGCCCCCAAGGGTAAGAGGTCCAGCTCTTGGTACTGCTAGGCAAGTCTCCTGATCTTACCTTTCAAGCTCTTGGGCATTGTTCCACCAGTGTGTGCCACACTTGACGATTTACCCACCCTCCCAAAGAAGACTCACAGGTGAGAGCTGGTGGGGGCAGTTGTGCTGCAGATCTGCCACTCCTCTGCTCAAAAGCCTGTAGTGGCTCCCCAGGTCCCTCCAGATAAAAGCCGGAGTTCTCAGACTGGTATCAGGCCCTGCTTCAGGGTTCTAGCCTCACTTGGGCCCTGGGCCCCATACCAGTCAATGAAAGCATATGAGTCCTTCTCAGAATAAAGTAAAATATTCAGGGTTACTATAATAATAGAAAGGGAACCAATTATACTCAAGTACAGCTATGGAAACATTTTTTAAACAAATGTGTGATGTAACACTATGTGTTTCTAAATTAACCCATTATAGGACAGGGTCCAATGGCACGTCTAACAGCGTTTGTTGTGTGGAAGTCGTGATGCGTGTATGTGACATTTCGAGGTGATTGCCACAACCGCAAAGCAATGAGAATCTCTGTGATTTCTGGCGATGACAAGATTACAGGCGCTGCTAACACTACTATGCTTTGTCGCCTACATGCATAATTGAAGGAAATGCTACATGTCAGTTTGAGATGACTGAAAATAAACATATCGCTTTCCCCATCCAAGTTCAAGGGCTCCCTGAATGTATTTATAGACCTCTTGGTCTGGGGGAGTCTTGGTTAGCAGCCCCCTGTGCTTGTAATTCTGCCTGCCCTCCTCTTCTCATCACCCCACCAAGTTCCCGCCCTTGTCCACTCTGCTCCAGCCACAATGGCCTTGATGCTGGCTTCCAAATGGGGGAGGCCTGTTCTCATCTTAGCAACTTTGCATGGACTGTTCCCTCTGCCAGAGCACCCTTTCCCCAGATACCTGAGTGGACCCCTCCCTCGCCTCCTTTATATATTTGTTCAAGTGGCACCCTCTCAGAGAAGGAGACCCTGGTGGATCATCCTATTCAAAACCACCACTCATCTCCCCAATCCTCTGATACCCATGATTCCCTTCCCCACCTCTGTTCTTTCTTTTTCCCAAAGCACTCGCCATTTTTTAGCATCCCATGCAACTATACCACTATTGTCTGTCTGACCCTGCTAGAAGATCTCTCAGAGATCCCTCCCTATCTTGTTCACTGCTGAGTCCCCAGTGCTTAGAACAAAGCCAGGCACGTATTGGTGGTGGTTGTGTGCTGTGGAGTCAGTTCCAGCTCATAAAAACCCTGCATAGGGGTTCTGAGGAGCAACTAGTGGGTTTGAACTGCTGACCTTGTGGATCGCAGTCCAGTGCTGATCCTACAGTGCCACACTAGGAATCCAGGCACACACTAGCACTCAATAAATAAGTTTTGAAAAGTGATCCATTGTAAACCATGCCTACACTCATTGCTATGAAGTTGATTCCAACTACCCCCATGGGGCTTCCAAAGCTGTAAATCTTTACAGAAGCAGACTGCCACATCTTTCTCCAAAGAGTGGATTCAAACTACCAACTTTTCCATTATTAGCTGTATGCCTTAACCACTGCACCAGCAGGGCTCCCTTGTAAGCCATCTGGTGTTATATAAAAAAGGTATCTGAGAGGAAAAACCTGAGGTTCAGAGACTCTAAGTGTCTATTATAAAGTTACACAGCAACTAAATGGCAAGGCGGGGATACCAATCTAGCCCATCACCATTGCTTCATGAACAAGATTCTGGATGGGAGAGAGCCTCACCCATAAAACACACCACTGGGGGAACTTCAGGTACCAAAGGATGCTAGTTCACCAGAAATAGCTGGTGTCTGGTCACGCTGAGTGGAACCACCTAAGTCCAGTCTAGTCTCCAGGTGTCACAGATGGCAGATGGCCTTGTTGACAGCAGCCCTTCCCGGGGGCCTGACTTCCTCCCCATCAGAGTAGCACATAGCTTTAGCCTGCAGCTGCGCTAAAGGAGAGAGTCTCCTTGGCCGCCCCTGGGCTGATCCCAAGGCAGACTCCAAGCAGGACTGTCTTCTATAAAGATAATCCCTCCCTGGGAGTGCCTGTCTCCCACCCTTGCTGGAGTCCCAGGGCAGGATCTAGGAGTGGTCACTAGGAAAGACTCTGGTTTCTACTCTTATCCAGCCATCCAGAGGCCCCCACTTGGCATGGAGGCTAGAGAGCTGGGTGGGGCTTGAGGATGCAGGGTCGGGGACAGAGAGGATCCCTGAATGGGATGGCTTGTTCCAGCAGGAACTTTGTAACTCTCGCCTCCACTGCTCTTCGGTTCCTCCAGACACAGGCAGCAGCCAGGAAATCAAATCCACACAGTGTCATTGGCGCGTACTCACACACACATCCATGTATGCACACGCTCACTCACACCATGCTTGTATACTCACATTGACTCCCGCCCTCATCCATGCAAATCCATACTAATGTGCATGCACACACATGCACACACACACCTGCCCACTCACAACCGAGTGCACACGTCATGACGCACACCTACACGCTCACACAGCCAGGCCTGGCTGCTCACCATTCAGCTGCAGTTCCTTCTCTCCCAGACAGCCAGCGGTTTCTTCCTGCTCCCCGCACTGGAGTGGAGAGCAGAGTACCAGTGCACCGAAGGGCTGCAGGTGGGTGGGCACTCCATAAACTCAGAGTCCAGCCCACCATTGTACTGGTGGGAAAACAGAAGCCCAGAAAGAGGCAATGGTAGCTCTGAGGTCCCATAGCATTGTGTCAGAGCTGGGGTGAGGACCCAGGTTCCCACCTTCCAGCCCAGGATCACAGGTTCCTCCGGCAGGCCCTGCTTTTGGCTAAGGAACAAATGAACGTGAATGAGTGTTGGGAGCCCAGGAGTTAACTGCTCTCAAGCCCTTGTTGTTGTTAAGTGCCATTGAGTCGGTTCTGACTCATAGTGACCCTGTATAGGGTCTCTGAGGAGTGGCTTGTGGTTGGCAGCCTAGTACTTATCCTATAGTGCCACACCAGGACTCCCTACGGTTACCAAATGGAAGGGGATAGCAGGACATGAAAGGTTCTAAGAAAACAAGAAGAAACCCACTGCCTTGGAATTTGACTCATAGTGACCCCAGAGGATAGAGTGAAAGTGCTGCTTTGGAGTCCAAGACTATAATCTTTACCAGACTAGACAGCCACATTGTTCTGTGGAGCGGCTGGTGGGTTTGAACTGATTACCTTGTTGTTAGCATTCCAGCACTTATTTAATCCACTACACCATGATGCAGTGAAGAGCTCTTGTTGTGTGCCATCAAGTTGGTTCTGACTCATAGTGACCCTGTATAGGGTTTCTGAGAGTTCTTTGTGGCTTTGAACCACTGACCTTGCAGCTAACAGTCCAGTGTTTATCCTACAGTGCCACACCAGAGCTAATGGCTCAAAGGTAGGGGTGTCTGACTTAACTTCACAAGGGGGAGATAGAATTAAGTTCAATAGCCCAAGGCTAATTCCTACGAGGTCAGGCATGCCTCCTTTGACCCACCTTTTTACTTACACTGATAGCAGTCATCCCTCCCATAACACTTTGTTCATCACTGCTGAGTTCAAGAACTAATTCCCTGCAATGGTCATACAAAACTCACCACAAGTATCAACCAGGGGTGCAAAGCTGTGTGTGTGTGTGTATGTGTGTATGTGTATGTGTATAATAACAGAGGTGCTGGGACTTCATCCTTGTCAGTGTTGACCTTGGAGTAGATTACCTTCCTCATTTTTCAGAAACTGAGGATCAGAGAGGTTAAGTGACTTGCACAGTGTCACCTAGCAAATAAGCAGGAGAACCAGCTTTCAAACCCAGGTTTGTCTGCTTCCAAAACCTGGTCCAACGTGAGTAGCTGAGATTTATTGCCCCTACCATGTATCGCGTAGTGGTTACGAATTGGGCTGTGAACCGCAAGGTCAGCAGTTCGAAACTACCAGCTGTTCCGTGGGAGAAAGATGAGGCTTTTTGTTCCCATAAAGATTTACAGCTTTGGAAACCCTGTACAGGGTCGTTATGAGTCGGAACCGACTCCATGGCACATTACAACAATAAAAATGTGCCAGGCAATATGCCAACTGGACTAATGCATTGGCCTCACAATGACTCTCTAAGAAAACTGCTAGTAGGACTCCCAGTGGACAGGTGAAGAAACTGAGGCACACAGAAGTAATGCTTCCTATCCAAGTCATCCAGCACATAAGTGGTAGAACTGGGACTAGAACTGAGGCAGCCTGGCATTTTGCCCAAGGCACTGACATGACACCATGCTGCCTTTTCTGGGTGCTGAACTCCTGCATCCAGATGAAAGTGTGGATGCCCAGCCACAGTGCTGCTGTCCTGGGTGTGTGGGGACATCGATGCTCAAGAAGAACGGGCTCTGAACCCTCTCAGGGATGCCCTCCCTTCCCTGGCACTGGAGCAGGCAGGTAGAGAGGGGAGTGTGGGAGTGGAGTTGCTTGCTATCTTGTTGCGGAAACTTGGACACATCTGTCCCCCTTCCTGAGTCTTAGTCCACAAGTAGGGACCTGTGTTCTCTAACAGGTCTTCCTGCTCATATGTGTTGGTCTTGATCAGAAGCATGCCACAGCCTGAATGTCTTCCACTAGCTCCTATTACCTAGCGGTTTGTCTGGGACCTCCTAGAGACATAGAGAAGGAGCAGGGCCAGCAATTCTTGAAAAGGAGGCAGTCTTCAGAGCAGAGAGCATTGGTCTGGGAGTCAGGAGCCGTTGCTTGCAGTCTTAGCTCTGATGCTGGATTGCTGTGTGGCTTTGGGTAAGTTACTTGCTTTCTCTGGGCTTTGGTAGTCTCATCAAGAAAAATAAGGGAGATGGTTTCCCTGTTCTATCATCCTCTCAGGGGCTACTGTGAACATCCAACCAGGCAACCAAATAGGGAGGTGCTTTGGTGCAATAAAAGGTTAGACTGATAAGGGCCAATTTTTCTTTTTCTTTTTTGTTGTTGCACCTCACCTTGTTTTCCCAAATAATATCAGAAATTTAACTATTGATGTGTGGTGCTGTAGGATAAGCACTGGACCACAAGGTTGGTTTGAAGCACAATGTTAGCAGTTCAAACTCACCAACCACTCCTTGGAAACCCTATAGAGGGTCACTATGAGTTGGAACCGACTCAATGGCACTTAACTGAACATGGTGATTACAAAGATTTCTGTGAATTTCCTGGTCATCTCCACCTCTGGAAGCCAGGTTGAGTGTCCAGTTATGATTTTGATCATTGTGAATCGAGTGCCAGACACTGACTGGGTTGATACTATTAACCCGTCTCTCTCCCTGCCCCCATTTTGCAAATAAGGAAGCTAAGGCTCAGAGAGGTTAAGACATCTGCTCAAACCCACACAGCAGAGCCAGGAATTCAGACCCAGGTGTGTCCCACTGTAGGACATACCCATCAATCGGCACTGCCCCTGTCCCCAGAACAGAGCCGTGGTCCCCACCACCTGGTACATGCCCCTGAGAGACACCCCTTCCCCAAGTGCCCAGGAATGGGCTGAAAGCAACAGTGTCCCCTCCTGTGTGTGATCTCTGACCTCCCTTCCCGCACGCCCCCGCCCTGCCTGGGCAGAGTGTCCCCGTATGTCCGCCCGCCTTCCCCTCTCTGACCCTGGCGCCTGCAGGTGCGGCTGGTGATCGCTGAGAAGGGCCTGGCATGTGAGGAGAGGGACGTGAGCCTGCCCCAGAGCGAGCACAAGGAGCCCTGGTTCATGCGGCTCAACCTGGGCGAGGAGGTGCCCGTCATCATCCACCGCGACAACATCATCAGCGACTACGACCAAATCATCGACTACGTGGAGCGCACCTTCACAGGAGGTACACAACAACCCCCAGGCCCAGGGGAGCCCGGGGACATGGACAGGGCTCAGACTTCCCCAGAAGAAACCAGGGGCGACAGGCAGGGGTCAGCTCTGTCCCCCAAGAACAGCTTGGCTTCAGACATTGCCAAAGGTCTTCAGGGGCATTCCCAGGTATTCCCTAGGAGCAACCCTCAGGGACCCCTCAAGCATAAGCAGGATCCAGACCCCCTTTCCATGTCTCAACAGACAGAGTCCAGTCCTCTGAGACCCTGTAAGCGTAGACAGAGCCAGAAACTCCCCCAGAAACCTCATGGCCATGAGTCCATGTGCTCCTAAAACCCACAGACACCCCAGAATCCCACAGACACAGGTAGGCTCAGATACCCTGGAAACTAGCAGACATAAGTAGGGCTCAGAACCCCACAAACATGAAAAGGGTCCAGATAACCCATAATGCCTGACATGGACAGGACCCACATGAACAGAGTTCATAACCTCCATGTCCTCCATGTCCTCACAGATGGAAAGCCTTGCCCGGGTCCTGCAGGTCAGTTAACGGAAGATCCGGACTGGCCCCAGAGCTCAGGCACCTCCCTTTATCCTCCCTGCCTCTCTTTGGCCCTGCTTAGCTCCCACTTTGTGCCAGACACCAGGACCCCAACAGCCTCGGCCATCCCTCTGGGGCTGTCCCTCTGCAGATAGCACCAACAGGGGAGTTAGAAACCAACACTGAAAAATCAAGGAGGATTTTAAACATCCAGGTTTCTCTTGCAATCTAGAAACACTAGGTCTCAACTTACACTTGGCCACAAGTCTGACGCTGAGGGCAACTGCCCGGAAGAGAGACAGCTTGACAGAGCCTGAGTGAGGAGAGGTGGGGAGGGGACTAAATCACACAGAACCCCATCACAATGGCAGAGTGGGGACTTTCCCTCCAGAAGCCTGGGAAAGGGGTTCAGCAAGGAGGGATCTGGCCTCAGTGTATCAGGGGCAGGGTGAGGCCGGGCCCACCGCCCATCGCCCACCCCAGCCCAGCCCCTGGCGATGCCCCACAGAGCACGTGCTGGCCCTGATGCCCGAGGCTGGCAGCCCGCTGCATGCGAGGGTGGTGCAGTACCGCGAACTGCTGGATGCACTGCCCATGGACGCCTACACACACGGCTGCATCCTACACCCTGAGCTCACCACCGACTCCATGATCCCAAAGTACGCCACGGCTGAGATCCGCAGTGAGTGCTTTGGGGGAGGCCAGTTGGGCATGGCGGGCCTCTCCCTAACTGGGTCTTCACTGCCCTCTGTTCTCCTTCAATGGGAGTTCTCCCTCCACCTCTGCTTCTCTTTCACCCTCTACTCCTCCTCTTTCTCTTTCTCTCCTTCTGACTGTGTCTGTCTTTTTCTGTCTCTCTTCCTTCATCTCAGCGTCTCTGGATGTGTCTCTCCCTCTTTGATTCAGTGGTAGGAGAGGGCATAGTGTGTCTGGGGAACTGAAAGTTCACTGTGGTAGTGTGAGTCTGTAGAGTCATTTTAGCCAAAGAACAATGGAGACGCCCTGATGGGGAAGCATTTTACTACGATCATTTTTCCAACCAAGAGAAGAATGGGTGGGGCAGGTAGGAGGTCCAGGCTGTTGCCTAGGTGAGCAATCATAATGGTCAAGACGAGGTGATTCCCAGAGTTCTTTGAGAGGCTGGAGTTGCTTCTCCCCTCATCCTGGTGTGAGTGGAAATCTAGTGTGGGCCCAGCTGGGGTGAGCAGGGGGAGACTCACAGAGAGCAGAAAATACAGAAGTCATCCTGAAGTAGGCCCCCACCCAAATCCATCCAAGGTCTTGCCTTGGTTTGTCCTGCCCTCCTGCAGTGTGAACAGAGCCCCATGTGACTGGCAAAAGAGAAAATGCTCCCTTGACCTTCACATTCATAAAACATCAGTGAGACTTAATATAGCCTTAGAGCCAAAAGAGCTAGAAATGTGCTTCTTGAGAGCGCTATCAGGCCAGGAGATAGGCGGTGGATAATGAGGTGACAAAGAACAGAAGCTGACCCCTGTGTGTGCAGAGGAGAGCTGTTTCATAGGGTTTTCAAGGCTATGACCTTTTGGAAGGAGGTCAGTAGGCCCATCTTTTGAGGTTTGAACCCCCAACATTTCAGCTAGTAGTTGAATGAACACTTAATAATTTGAGCCTCCCAGAGATTCCAATGAGAAAGATTCAGAGAAAAAACCAACAAGACCTGGGACTGATCTGATGTGGGGAGGGAGGACACCTCCCAGGCATCTGGCGTGGTTGAGTGTGGGGGCAGGAGGTGCTACAACTTAGGGTGGACACAGGAGGAATAGCAGGGAAGATGATGAAGTAAGTTGGACCAGAATGAGTTTGAGGAGCCTAGGGGATGTCCAGGATCCCAGAGGAGAGGGTAGCATGGGATTGATTTTGCCACAGACTTGACCCACATATTCCTAATTTACTGTCCAGGAATCTCAGAGAAAGCCTGCCCTACTCAGACCCTGGGATTTTATCCCAGTTCCTGATTTCCCCTCCTTTAAGAACCCATTGCTTACAGTAGACTTTCAAAGTAAATTTATAAGATATTGCCTTTCTCTTGTTGCATTGGTTTCCTAGGGCTGCTTTAATGTAGACAAAAACTCGTGACTTATTAGAAGACAAATGATGTCATAGTTCTGAAGGTTGTTCTTATGTCATTGGTAGGTGCCTTCAAGTTAGTTGTGACCAGAGCAATTCTATGCACAAGACTACCTAGTCCTGCACCATCCTCACACTTGTTAGGTTTGAGACCATTGCTGCTGCCACTGGGTCAATCCGTCTCAGTGGGGTCTTCCTCTTTTTGGCTGACCCTCCATTTTTCTAAGCATGATGTCCTTCTCCAGGGACTGTTGCTCCTGACAATATGTCCAAAGTACAAGAGATGAAGTATTGCTGTCTCGTTTCTAAGGCGTGTCCTGGCTATACCTCTTTCTAGACAGATGGTTTGTTATGCTGGTACTTCAAATATTCAAAAGTCCATGGTACTTTCAATATTCTTTGCCAATACCATAACTCAATGCATCAATTCTTCTTTGGTCTTCCTTATTCACTGTCCAACTTTCTAAGCATATGTGGTAACTGAAAATACCAAGGCTTGGGGTCAGCGCACCTTAGTTCTCAAACTGCTATCTTTGCTCTTGAACACTTTAAAGAAATCTTTTGCAGCAGATTTGCCTAAAGCAATATGTCATTTGATTTCTTTCTTTAAAAAAAATATATTATAGGGACAGGCAACTTAGGAATTGGCTACCTAAATTGTGCGGGGGTGGGGGATGGGGGGAGGGAGCTATAAAGGCATGAAGTGGCTGGCTTACAAGTTTTCAAGAGGGAGTTTAGTTTCAGAGTGTGCACGGGAAGGTAGAATCCCCAATGAATAGTTTTTATCTAATCTAGACAGGTCTGATGAAAGGAGATGGGGATAAGATTCTTATGGTTCAATAATGAGTAATTGTTATCATGACTAATTGCAATTGTCACAACTATAAAGTTAGAAGTTCTGTAACATAAAGGGAGGAGTAGTTAATTCAACATTCCAAGAACAGAGGATCCTAGGACCATCAAGAGAGAAGAGCATGAGCAGAATGTGGGACCCTATCCGGAGAAGCAGTGACACCAGAGATGGAGGCAGAGATGAGGACATGGAGAGAGGGAGAAGCTGATAACTCTAGACTCATGGAAAAAGAAAGGCTGTGTGCTGGCAGCCAGGAGATAGTCTTTCAGAATGTGCCCTTTGGTTGTTTAAATAATTATATATTCTGGAGTGTTTTTGTGTACATAAACACACACACACACACACAAACAGGGAATAGAAGCAAATACTGTTGCTTCTATTAATGATGCAAGGAGGGGATTGTAATCATTGCAATGAAATGTAATACAATAGGATAAGTGCAAAACTGATATTCTCCCATGTAAATGTTCACTCAATTCACAATAAAAGCTTTAAAAAATATATTATAGAGTCTCTTTATTAAGTTTTAAACAGGAATGAAAACAGGAGCAGACAAACATAGATCACGCAGGCAAGGGAAATCATCGCTATGACACCATGATGAGTTTTCCCCATTATTTGATTTCTTGACTGCAGCTTCCTTCAGCGTTGATTGTGGTGGGTCCAAGCAAAATGAAGTCTTTGACAAATTCAATTTTTCTCCTTTTATCATGATGTTATTTATTGGCTCAGTTGTGAGGATTTTTTGTTTTCTTTACATTGAGGTGCAATCCATACTGGAGGCTGTAGTGTTTGATCTTCACCAGTAAGTATTTCAAGTCCTCTTCACTTCTAGTAAGCAACTTTGTATCAGCTACATATCTCAAGTTGTTAATGAATCTTCTTCCAATCCTGATGCCACATTCTTCTTCATGTAATCCAGCTTCTCAGGTTATTTGCTAAGTATATACATTAAATAAGTATGGTGAAAGAACACAACCTTGGTGCATTCAGTATCTCCTTTTTCTGTTTGAACTACTGTCTCTTAGTCTGTTTACAGGTTCCTCATGAGCACAATTAAGTGTTTTGGAATTCCCATTCTTCACAATGTTATCCATAGTTTGTTGTGATCTACACAGTTGAGTGTCTGCATATTCAATAAAGCACAAGTAAACATCTTTCTGGTACTCTCTACTTTCAGCCAAGATCCATCCGATGTCAGCAGTGGTATCCCTCAATTCATGTCTTTTGAATCTAACTTGACTTTCTCCCTGTGAATGTACTGCTGCAATCATTTTTGGATTATCTTCAGTAACATTTATTTGTATGATATTAATGATATTGTTTGATGACTTCTGCATTTAGTTGGTTCACCATTCTTTGAAATGGGCACAAATATGGATCTTTCCCAATCATTTGACAAGGTCTTGCACATTTCTTGACATAGACAAGTGAGTGCCTCCAGTGTTGCATCAGTTTGTTGAAACATTTCACTTCTATTCCTTTAATTTCAAGAGCCTTGTTTTCTGCCAATGCCTTCAGTGGAGCTTGGACTTCTCCCTTCAGTACAGTTGGTTCTTGATCATATACTACCTCTTGAAATGGTTGAATATAGGATAGGTTATTTATTTATTTTTGGTACAGCGATTCTGTGTATTCCATCTTTTTATGCTTCCTGTGTCATTCAATATTTTGCCCACTGCTGTTGTTGTTAAGTGCTGTTGAGTCAGTTCTGACCCATAGTGACCCTGTATAGGGTTTCTGAGAAGCGGCTGGTGAGACTGAACCACCGACTTTGCAGTTCCAACTGACTTTGCAGTCCAGCGCATTAACCCACAGTGCCACACCAGGACTCCATTTTGGCCCTTGTTGTTGTTGTTATGTGCCATGGAGTCATAGCGACCCTGTACAGGGTTTCCGAGGCTGTAAATCTTTACGGGAGCAGAAAGCCTCCTGCAGAACAGCTGGTAGTTTCGAACTGCTGACCTTGTGGTTTGCAGCCCAATTTGTAACCACTACGCTACCAGAGCTCCTTCCATTTTGGCCCTAGAGTCCTTAAATATTGCAAGTCAAAGCTTGAATTCATCTTCAGTTCTTTCAGCTTGAGAAATGTTGAGCATGTTTTTCCCTTTTGGTTTTCTAATTCCAGGTCTTTGCACATTGCATTGTAATACTTGAGTATGTCTTCTCAAGCGGCCCTTTGAAATTTCTGTTCAGGTCTTTTACTTCCAGTCTCTTTAGCTTCTCTACATTTGAGAACAAGTTTCAGAGTCTCTTTTGACCTTCATTTTCTTCCTTTCCTGTTGTTTAAAGAACCTTTTATCTTCTTGCATGATTTTCTTAATGTCATCCCACAATTCTTTTGGTCTTCAGTCATTAGTGTCTAATGCATTGAATCTGTTTTTGAAATAGTTTTTAAATTCAAGTGGGGCATATTCAACGTCATATTTTGGGTCTCATGGACTTGTTTTAGTTTTTTTTCAGCTTCAGTCTGAACTTGCATGTAAGTAATTGATCTGCTCCACAGTTGACCCCTGGCCTTGTTTTGACTGATAATATGAGATTTTCCATTGTATCTTCTCACAGATGTGAGAATTTGATTCCTGGATATTCCATCTTGGTGAGGTCTGCATGTATAGTTGCCATTTATATTGTTGAACAGAAGTATTTGCAATGAATAGGTCATTGGTCTTGCAAAATTCTATCATGTGATCACCAGCATCATTTCTATCACCTAGGCCATATTTTCCAACTACCGATCCTTCGTCTTTGTTTTCAACGTTTGCATTCCAATCACCAATAATTATGAATGCATCTTGATTTCGTGTAAGTTACGACTCAGAGCGACTCCATATAACTTTCTGAGGAGTGGCTGGTGGGTTTAAACTGCTGACCTTGCAGTTAGCATTCCAGTGCTTATCGTCAATATCATACCAGGATTCCAAATAAGTTGGAATTTTTCAATTTCATCATCACTGGCTTTAGTGGATAGTATGTAAATTTGAATAATAGTCATGCTACCTGGTCTTCTCTGGTGCTGATGTTGTTATGTACCGTGGAGTAGGTTCTGACCCATAGTGACCCTGTACAGGGTTTCTGAGGCTGCAAATCTTTTCGGGAGCAGAAAGCCTCATATTTCTCCTGCAGAACAGCTGGTAGTTTCGAACTGCCGACCTTGAGTAGGAGTATGGGTATTATCACAGACCTCATTGTCCTTTAAGCTAGATCTTGAAATGTTCTTTTTGAGTATGTCTTTTCTGGCATAGTAAATCATGTAACTGTCTGGTTCAAAATGGTCAATACCAGTGCATTTCAGATTACTAATGCCTAGAATACTGATCTTTGTGTGTTCCGTTTTATTTTTGACAACTTCCAATTCATACTTCATACATTCCATGTTCTGATTATTCATGGATGTGTACAGCTATTTCTTCTCATTATGAGTTGTGCCCCACCAGCAAATGAAAGTCCTGAAGGCTTACTCCATCCATGTCATTAAGGTCAATTCTACTTTGAGGGCCAACTTTACCCCTGTAGCATTTTGAGTGCCTTCCAATCTGGAAAGCTCATCTTCAGCACTATATCAATCTGCTGTTATTCATAAGGTTTTCAGTGGCTAACCCTTCGTAACTGGTCCACTTCTCCTTCTTCCTAGTCTGCCTTAGTCTGGAAGCTCCACTGAAAACTGTCCACCATGGGTGACCCCGCTGGGATTTAAAATACCAGAGGTATAGCTTTCCACACGACAGCAACACACAAACCATCATAGTATGGGCTATGTTGATTCCTTCTGAGGACTTTTAGGAAGAACGTTTTCCATAACTTTTTCCTAGCTTCTGGCGATGGTCAGCAATCCTTGGCATTCCTTGGCTTGTAGATCACTCAAATCTCTGTCTCCATCTTCATGTGGTTGCTTTTCCTCTGCGTGTATCTTTTCCTTTTTCATAAGTACACCACTTATATTGTACTGTAACCTACCCTATTCCAGTACCTGTTAACTGATAATATCTTCAAAGACCTCTCTTACCAAACAAGATCACATGCATAAGTAGTGGGGGTTAGGACTTCGACACATATTTTCTGTAGAGACAACCCAATCCATAACATCCTCCTTTAATTTCCACCAGTAACCCACTATCCATTACCCTAGCCTTTTGGTGTCTTTAAAGGGCCAGCTTTACCAGAAAAGGTGGACTCAGGCTCTAAATCTTCATGAAAGTAGCCTCACCAGAAGTTAAAAGTTTCAAGACATCAAAGATCTCTTGTGCTTTCTCTTAATCTAAACAAGACTTTCTTTGTGAAGTTTAGTGAGCAAACACACAAGAGTCAGAATATGTAAATTCAAGACCTGCTTGCCATTTACTAACGTGGAATTCTTACTTAGCTTCTCTGAACCTATTTCATCACTGTAAAGGTGGTGGTGGTGCAAATCGCTCACTGAAGTGTGAATTTGTCCAGGTTTAGTATTATATCCATTTCTAGACAACTACTCATCATCAAGAGTAGAGTCTCCTCCTTGGTGAGGTTACTTGTCCCCTAGTGTCCTAAGCCGGTGAACTTCTGAATCCCACAACATTCTGTTTGTTCTCCTGTTGCACCTTGTGCATACTGTGCCTTAGCGATTTCTTTGTGTATCTGAATCTAGGGCAGGATTTGGTTTTATGTCCATGCCTGTGTTACAACCTGTAATTCATACAGTGAGTGCTCAAAAAAGCATTTGTTGTTGATATTGTTGCTTTCCTGAGCAATGTGTGTTTGGAACCTACTTCAGGTAGTATGGGGGAAGAGACGGGGAAGCACTGATAACCAGAAGGTCAGGATCTTTCCTATTCTTTCCCCAGGACATTTAGCTAATGCCACTACGGACCTCATGAAATTAGACCATGAAGAGGAGCCCCAACTCTCTGAACCCTACCTTTCTAAACAGAAGAAGCTCATGGTGAGTGTCCCCTGTATCCACTGTCTTTCCCATGGAAAGGGACAACTGAGAGAGATGGCCCAAAGTAGAGGATGAGTTGAAGACATGAAATGGGAAACACAATGGCTTGCTTTTCATATATTGTCTCCTCTGTAATTCATTGGCTGCCTGACCTCAAGCAAGTCACTACCACCCACTCTCTTATAGCCTCAGTTTCCTCATGCTTTTAGGTTGGGTCCCTAAAAGCATGAGTGTTGAACAGAGATACTGGGTACTTGAAGGAAAACTCTGAGGGGAACCCTGTAAGGCAGAGAAGGAGCAGGTCTTATCTGAGCCCATAAGGAGTTCTGGAGCATACATGGCCATGACTTTGGTCACATGGAAGCATATACCCATATCAGCCAGTCTGTGGCTACAGATTGCCTGAGGGAGATGGAGGGTACAACCTCTCCCAAGTATTTCTAGGAAGGAAACCTCCTCACTGGCAAAAGCAGTGCTCAGTAGAAAGTCAGACACTAGTTATCAATACTCACTGAAGCCAGAGAATAAAAGTATGAGAACATCTTACACACTTAAGGGGATATTTGGATACTGGGTTTGCAGAAAGAGGTTTATGTAAACTCCTACCTTCTCTGGTCATCCTTGGCTCTAGTGAGGCCAACCAGCCCTCTTCTACCTATCCTTCCCCAAGGCCAAGATCTTAGAGCATGACGACGTGAACTACCTGAAGAAGATCCTCGGGGAGCTGGCCATGGTGCTGGACCAGATTGAGGCCGAGCTGGAGAAGAGGAAGCTTGAGAACGAGGGTGGGTGCCAGTCCTGGGGTAAGTGGGTGCTGGAGCCCACCCACCCACCCTGATCCTGATCAATTCCAGCCTCTTTTTATGTCTCAGAGGATGTCACGAGTCATGGAGTCAGATAGGCCTGAGCTCATGTTCTAGCTTGGTCACTTACTAACTAGTGGCCTTGAGTCAGGTACTTCACCTCTCTGGCCTTTTGTTTTTTATCTATAAAATGAGGATGATAATATGACCTTCCTCAGAGAGTCATTGAGAGATTTTGTGAAATAACGCAATGTAGAGTGGCTAGATCGGTGCTCAACACATATCAGATATTTGATAAAGGTTAGTAAGGATGATGATAGTGATGGTGAAGATGGTTGCACACTATCTCACCTTTCCCCTTCCAAACCCTGATGAAAGAGGTGGGGAAATTCAGGTTTCAACCCTTGATGGGAGAAGCAGCAAAATCATGTTGCAAAGGGGCATGTGTACAGGGGTAGAAGGGGTGTGTGACCATTTTTACTATCTATACAGGAGAGAATCGTCCTGATTTTCCACTTAAGAGCACTCTGGTCACTGTGTAAACATAGGCTTTAAGGGAGACAGATGGAAGGCTGTTGCTATACCGCATGTAACAGATGATGGTGGATTGTGTAAAGGTGGTGGCTGTGGCATGGTGAGGCATGGATGGATCTGAGAGGAACTTGAGAGATGAAACTGATAGAAACTTACTGAGAGGGTGCATGGAGTTGGGCAAGAGAAGGAGGTATCGAAGATGACTCTTAGGGTTTTAGCCTAAGGTACTGAATGGTACCATTTGTAAGCAAAGGGGAACAAAGCCGGCCACAGTAGAACTGTTTCAAAGTGGTTCAAAGCCCTGATTTGAAGGCCTCATCAGAACTGGAAGATACATTTCCAAGATGATTCATTCACTTGGATTTTAACTGGATGCCTCAGTGCCTCACTGGCTGGGGCAGAGGACCTCAGTTCCTTCCCACATGAGCCTCCCAGTGGGGCTGCTTTTCTTAACATCATGGCAGCTGATTTCCCTCAGAGCAAGTGATCCCAGAAAGACAGAGACGGTACAAATCACAATGTCTCTTATGACCTACTATTGGAAGTCACTCTGTCATTCTACCACATGTATATTCATTAGAAATGAGTAATGAATTTCAGGGGAGGAGAACGGGGATTCACCAAAAGGAGGAATATTAAATACTCTGTGGGTGTGTTTTAAAACTACCACACCTGTCCTGAGGTTCGCCCACGATGAGAGATGGATAAAGGCAGAGGAGTTGGCAGGGCAGACGGAGAAGGAGTTAAGTAGGAGGACCCTTGTTTCACAGGAACCAGGAAAGGCGTGTTTTGAGACATGAGAACAGTATCAAATGCTGCTGGGGGATAGAGTAAGCCAAGAATAGCAAAGTGTCTCCTGGATTTTGTACCATGGATGTTGTTTGTATGTTCATTGGAGTGTGGGATAAAAGCCAGACTGGAGTGCACTGAAGACAGCAAGTGTAGAGAACCCTTTTGAGAACCTAGTAGAAGGAATGAGGAATGGGTGTGAGGTGGGGTGGGGTAGGGTGGGGTGAAGGGAGCAGTGGTTTGAAGATAGGAGATACAGGAGTGTGCGCTCTGCTGCTAGAAATGACTCAGTAGAAAGCAGGGAATGAGCGATGCAGGGCTTTGTAAAGTCCTTGCAAAGACAGGAATGGGTGTGGCTCAGACAGGGTCCCTGCAGGAAGCAGGTGCCATGCTGAAACTGGGTAAATTGTTGTTGGGGACCGTAGAGTCGATTTCCACTTACGACGACTCCACATTCATAGGGTTTCCTTGGCTGTAAGCTTTATGAGAGCCCATCAGTAGGTCTTTCTCCTGCAGAGCCACTGGGTGGGTTCAAACCACCAATCTTTTGAATAGCAGTCACATGCTTAATAACTGTACCAGCAGAGCTGCTTGGGTAAACTGAAGAGTGTTTAGTAAAGGGATGAGTGTGGGGGGGTGGGGACAGTCTCAGGAAGGCTGACAGGAGCTGTGGCTCTCATTGTAGGGACAGTGGTGACTCTCAGAGGGTGGAAGACTGACCTCACTGTCACCCACCCTCCTGTCTCCTGCCTCTGCTCCCACTGGTTGGGCCCTGGTGGTGTATCTAGCAGGTCAGCCTACTGGGGTACAGAACACCCTGGAGGAGGAAGAGGGTGGATCTGGAGAGGGAAGCAGAGGGCATGCACCGGGGAAGGTGCAGAGTGCACTGACGGGCTGGCATCTGGAGAAGGGAGACCGTGGTGGAAGGTGAGAGCGTGGGATGTAAGCTTCATGGTGGAAAATGAGGACCTTCATAACTGATGGTTTGTTCTCTGAATGAAGCATGAGGCAAGGTCATCAGCTGACAGAACTGGGGGAAGAGCTGTGAGAGAAGGGAGAGATATGAAGTTGTCTCCCCAGGGAGTAGGCACATGAGCTCAGGAAATAGAATAGGACCCCAGGCAGAGCTGAATGCCCTCCTGGGTTTTGTGGTCATGAATTGAAAGCACCAGCTGGTCAGCTGCATTATGGGATTGTCTCCAGCAGGCACAGCTGGCAGTCAGAGAAAGCACAAGATGGGATGCATCCAGGGCTGGGGCTTTGCAGCGGGCATGCAGAATTGAGGGAAGGAGGAAGCCAATGGGATCAAGCCCTCTGGTGACACACATGATAGTCACACGTACCCACACACACAGAGTCACGGCTCTCAGTATTTGCCTACAATCACAAGCATTACTGTTATTGCTACGTGCCATCGAGTCAGTTCTGACTCACAGTGACCCTGTATAGGGTTTCTGGGGAGTGGCTGGTAGGTTTGAAACACCAATCTTGTGGTTAGCTGTCCAGTAGTGATGCACATGTACATGCTTGTGAACATGTCTCCAGGCAAACGGCCAAGTAGACGTGGGCATATGCTTCACTATTACATAAGGGACTGCACACACCTGTATAGACACAGATGTGCATGCATGTGGGGATAAACATGTGTGGACACAAGCAGCAGCATGGGTAAACACACAGACTGTATGTAATGTAGACATGGAGACTCCAGTGAAGACTGCCTGTTGTAAGGGGCCTGGATGTATGTGTTCATCTGTGTGGTTATGATCAGACTTTGTAATGGGATAGCCTGCCTTTGAATCTGAACTCTGCCATTCACTAACTGTGGTTTTGGCCAAATTACTTAATCTCTCTGCCCATCAATTTCATCATCTGTAGAATAGAAAAGTAAATGCACCTATTTTATAGTGTTGTGATGATAAAAGGAGTCAGCATACATTAAATGCTTTATAGCAAATTGGTACAAAGTAACTACCAGATGGGACTCCTGGTGTGGCACTGTAGGATCAGCTCTGGACCGTGAACCACAAGGTCGGCAGTTCAAGCCCACCAGTTGTTCCGCGGAAACCCTACACAGGGTGGCTATGAGTGGGAGCTGGCTCATAATCATCATCATCATCATCATCATCATCATCATCATCATCATCATCATCATCATCACTGTGATGTAGATGGTGTTGCTATGAGGCTGAGCAGGGCTCAGTGGAACGTCCAGATGAAGATCGACTAGAAAGAATGACCCAGCAGCCTATTTCTGAAAATCAGCCAGTGGAGACCTGGTGGATCCCAACAGTTAGCCCCACAACTGCTGGTGGGGATGGTGCAGGACTGGGAGCATTTGTTCCCTGATGCATGGGGTTGCCTGGAATTGGGCACCAACTTGATGGCAGCTATGACAACAGATGAGTACATATAAAAATACAGTCACGTGGTGAAGAACAGAAACATTAGATGGCCAACATTAGTCCTTGAAATGACTCCCAAGAACAATGTCCAGGGATAAGCTCTGGATTGGTAATGACCATGGGACGCTGGGATAGCCCATCCCATGAGTCTCTGTCGAGTCAGCAAGGCTCAAAGTAAATGCTTCACTTTCCTCTTCAACCTGCTCTTCCTCCTGGATCATCATGTTAGGCCACAACGCTGTCATACTTCCAGGGTCATGAAATAGTCCCCCAAACACCTCAGGCTTGTCTGCTTCTCTGCGCCCTCTGTTCTCCCTTGATTGGTGCACCAGTGCCCCCTCCCCCATTAGTCCCTGGACCGAATTCAAGCCCTTTCATGTGGCTTTTTGCTCCTTGTGGTTTGGCCCCTACCTAGTTACCCAGCTTCACCTCACCCTCCTCTGAAGTCCTGTCCTGCACATCTTCCCTCCTACCACCTCCCCCGAACTCCCAGAGCCTTCTGATTCTAAACCAAACCCTGATCTCCCCAGAGCACCCAGCCTCCCTACAATCCTCTCGCATGGAGACCGATGTTTCTCCCCTGGGGTGGGGAGTAGGTGGTCTTTCTGAATCCTCTTTCTGAATCCTCATTGACACTTCCAGACTCTACTCTTTCCTCCCTCCTCCCTAATGGCCTCCACACCCTATAGCATTGACTTTCTTGTTATAGACAGACCACTCCCAACTTCCTCCCCACCAGGACAGTCGTCTGTGGTCCTCTGGGCACCTAGCTGATCGCCAGCCCCTCCGGCATCACTCCTGTGGTAATTCTTGGCAGCTCTTTAGGTAGATGATGTTTCATGTTTCCTGCCCCTCAGTTCTCTGACCTCCTTCCTTATTGATTTGTCCCTATCCTGTCCCTGTTGCACCTTCTAGTCATACACACAGCAGACACAGTGCCGAGAACTGAGAACGCTCCAAAATCTCCACCTCTAATTACCACCTCTTGCTTTTCAGTTTACTTCTCGTACAACCAAAAGATCAACAGTCTTCCTCGCCCCCGGGACCATCAGCCTTGATCCTTCCTCCATTCACTCTCTCACCCCCACCATGATCTCACTGTCCTCTGTACCCAGGTGGACCCCCTGATCCGTCACCACAAGCACCCCCTTGCTTACGCCTTCGACCTCCTTGCCCTTCTCTCACTTCATCATCTCACTTGGCAAAACCTCAATTGTGTTTAAACCCAACTCTCCACTTACTTAGTACCAGCTCCTGTGAAAGTAAATGTGGCTGGAAAACCACATGAGGGTGCTAGCCAGACAGTCTCACTTTGAATTCATGACCACTAGTCCTGGTGTGGCCCTTGTGGGTTGATGCACTGGAATGCAATGTCCCTTGCAGTTAAGCTCACCAGCTGCTCCTTGGAAACCCTATACAGGTTCACTATGGGTTGGAACCAACTCAATGGTACTTAACATCAACAACAAAGCCTTAGATGGGCCTCAGTTCTTCCTGAAGATCCCTGATGATCATTTTATACCTTCTTCTTAGCCCACCAGCTGCCTCTCCCCCATCCTCACTCTCAGCAGATCTCTTTCTAGCCCACTGAGAAAATGGAAACATTATGAAGGTATCTTCTACTCCCCACAGCTATGCACCAAGAGGCTTTACTGCCCATACTCATGCCGTAGTTTATAGATTCTAAAGGCATCTTTGTTAAATCACGTTATCATCTGACATTGAGACGTTTCTTACCATCAATAATTTAATTGCATCACCTGTTCTCTTGAGGCTGCGTGTTTTACACTGAATGGATGAAATATGGCACCGGGCACTTCCTCTTGTTACTGTGGATTGATGGCCCTTTTGTTAGCCAAGACCAATCGCCTTCAATGTGTCCTAGACCACCGCCACGCTCATCCAAGGACAGCACATCAGTGACTCTCTGCACTCTTTTCTGTAAAATTATTTTCCTCCTCTCTGTGGGATGGTTCCCATCAACATGTTATTTTTTCCATCCCAACTAAAAAAAACCCTCTTGACCTGTCTCCCACTATTGGCCTGTCCTTCCTGTTACAGCATAACCACAAAGAGTGGCCTCTGCTCACCGTCCCCAGTCCCTCTCCTGTCTTTTCCCTTGAACTCCCTCCTTCGATCTCTCATCAACAGTACTCTGGTCGTGGTCACTAGTAATCACATGCAGTCAGCTGTCAGGCCTCCTCTTAAGTGACCTCTCAGCAGTGTGTGACCACAGTTGAGCTCCCTCCTCCCTGAGACACTTTCCCATCTTGGCTTTCAGGACACTACACTACTCTCTCCAACTCACAAGCTGCTCCTTCTTAAGCACTTTCACATTTCACTTAGTCACCCAGTCTCTAAATCTCCGAGGGCCTGGGATCAACAGTTGCTCCTATTCTCAAGTCTGTCTGCATCTCCCTTGCTGATATCATCCATTCGCATGGCTTTAAACACCACCTCCATACTGATGACTCTCTCCTGAACTAGGGGCTTGCATCTCTAACTGCTGGCTCATTTTCTTCCCTTGGGGGTCTAACATGCATCTGGAAAGTTACATACTCAAGAACAAACTTCTGATTACAGTCTTCATTATGTGTTACTCTTCCGCCCCCCCTTGAAATGGTGAGCTTGTTGAGGGAAGACATGGGTTTTGTCTTGTCTTCGTGCCCAATACATAAACATCTGTTGAATGAGTAAGAAGATACAGAGTGAAAGGGGACTCAGATTTTGATGTGGTTGTTGGGTCCCATCAAGTCAATTCCAGCTCATAGTGACCGTCTATGACAGAGGAGAAAAGAGATAAATAGGATGTTAGAGTCACATAATTTCCCAGCTGGAGGTAAACTTGCCAGGGATGCAGAGGGAGGAGAGAGCATCCCAGGTATGGGGCACAGAAGGGACAAAAGCCCAGAGGCTGGAAGGGGTATGACCTGTTTTGGGGAAACAGTGGGTAGATGTAGGATGCATGAAAAGACAAGATTAGAAAAATATATTGGAGCTAGACTACTTACTGGGAGACCATGAACACCCGATGAAAGAATTTGGATATTAATGTGTAGTGTTGTTGTTGTTAAGTGCCATCAAGTCAGTTCCGACCCATAGCGACCCTGTATAGGGTTTCCGAGGAGCAGCTGGTGAGCTTGAACCACCGACCTTGCAGTTCAAATGGCTTTGAAGTCTGGCTCATTAACCCACAGAGCCACACCAGGACTCTTGTGTAGTACGTGGGGGGAAATGGAGTTTTGAGCAAAGAGGTGATATCTGAGGGTAAAGGAGTTCCAGCATTTCACGTCTAAATGACTGGGAGAAATATGTTGCACAGATTTCTGTTTCCCAAATATGCCAGCTAATTTTAGATGGCACATGAATATGGCAACAAATAACATAAAATCACAGAGTGAGAAATATAGTTTTTAGTTTTCTCTAATTTCATTACATCAAAGAAACATTTCAATATGGTACTACTATTTAACCCCTTTGTAATACATGTTAACATCTTCCCCTTTCTTTCTTTCTTTCTTTCTTTTTAAGACAAGTGTGTGTTAGGTTTAGATATGGGAGGACAGTGGCATCTAGCTGTAATTTTATAACATTTGTTTCATTTTTGTCATGCTTTTATCGTTGTATACAGAGTAAGTAAAAAAATATTGCTACAAAATCATAGAAAGCTTTCTTAAACAAAAATATCAAAACACGAAGCTATTCTTTCTCAACATACCCCTCTACCCCCCACCCCCCACCCCCAGGTCTATGCATTTCTGAAAGCTGTGTTTCAAATCTCTCTAACCATTCCCAAAGGAATTCTGTGCTCTTTGATTTACACTGTGTCAAAAGAGCAGTGTGGGCATCCTTAAGGGATTCAAATCACATTCCTTTTAAATGTTCTTAGAGTTTGGAGAACAAAAAGAAGTCTGAAAGGGGCAAGGTCAGGACTGTAGGTGGATGGGGTAAGGTTTCCTAATATAAGGACCATCCTTGCAAATGGAAGACCTATACCAGGTCGCTATGGGTTGGAACGGACTGAAGGGCACTTAGCAACAACAGATCATGGAAACTGTTAACGCACTTCTGAGAGGTACCTGGCAAGTTATTTACCAAAAGTCAGTGAAAACCCTATAAACAGAGCGTGACAGTGACATAGCAAGAGTGTGGATGGACTTGACAGCAGCCGTTTTGTTTGTTTGGCATTAAATCAGGTCAGAGGCAACTGGGTTTTACCAGAATGCTAAGAGAGGCCATCAGATTCTAGGTACACTTTGAAGGTAGAACTGATGCAAATTGCTGATAGAGTATGTGGGGTGTGAAAAGGAGAGAAGACTTAAAGTTAAAGGTGGCCAATGAAAGACTTTAGGCCTAAGCAACTGTTAGAATGGGGGTGACATTACTGAGTTGGGGAGGAATGCAGTGGCTTGGGGCTGACAATCAAGAGTTCAGCTTGGACATGTCGAGCTTGAAAGGCATAGTGGGCACCTAAGGGGAACTTGCAAATGGGCAAATGGATATACGAGTGTAAAGTTTAAATACATGCATTTACATTGCAGAAATCAGTTGATGTAAAGGGAGAAATGAGGTGAGTACAAATAGAGACCACCGTATAAGGCTGTGGCAGAATCATCTATGCAGTACAGGCATGATGACCCTGGGAGTCAGCACAAGCTGGAGGGGGGAAGGCCAGAGCCGTGAGTGTGTTGGGGGAGACAGCACATCTTTTCCCTCTGGCTCCCCCACATCTCCTCTCTCTCCCACTCTAGGGCAGAAATGTGAGCTGTGGCTTTGTGGCTGTGCCTTCACGCTGGCTGACGTGCTCCTGGGAGCCACCTTACATCGCCTCAAGTTCCTGGGACTGTCCAAGAAATACTGGGAAGACGGAAGTCGGCCCAATCTGCAGTCCTTCTTTGAGAGGGTCCAGAGACGCTTGGCCTTCCGGAAAGTGCTCGGCGACATCCACACCACCCTGCTGTCGGCTGTCATTCCCAATGCTTTCCGGCTGGTCAAACGGAAACCCCCATCCTTCTTTGGGGCGTCCTTTCTCATGGGTTCCCTGGGCGGGATGGGCTACTTTGCCTACTGGTACCTCAAGAAAAAATACATCTAGAGCCAGGCCAGTGTGTGACTGTCGGTGTCTCTGTGCTGTGTGATTCCCAAGGAGCTCTCTGTAACTCACTGTCTCATGAACACTTGGACAGCCCTCCCCCGCCCCTTGTTCTGAGTAATTCTGTCGTCAATGTGAAAACATTCCATAGTTTAGTAGTAGACGTTGCCAATGCCATGAGTAGAGGCCACCGCTCTACTAAAAGAAGAGAAAATGAGAGACAGAAAGAAAAAAACACAAAAACAAAACACGAATGCCTTTTCTTTTGATTTAAGGTCTCAAGTTGGAACTGTGGGGACTGGTTAGGATCTGAGGTGAGTTCCAGGTTGCTTCATCCACCAAGGCCCAGATTCTGGGAGGTGCTGGAGGCTAAGAGGGCCTGATCCCTTGCCTCTCCTTCCCTCTTGCCCACGACACTCTTCCAAAGGACAAAGCCAACATCAAGACTCGGCGCTTCTAACTGGTACCTCCGGTGGGGCTGGAGACCCAGAGACCCTTCGGGAGGCCCCTGAATATTGGAAGGGGCTTCATTCTTCTCCTGGACATGGACTGAGACAGTATGATGCAATCCAAGGCAGTGGCTCCCCTAAACTAGGTTGTGGTTGGGATGAGCACCTCTTACGTCCTTCTCAGCTGGTGTGTTTGGTTTTACACTTTAGTAGTGACCCCTGAAGGCAGTATCCACCATCTTTTTCCCACCTGGAGTTGAGTTTTCCCACCACGTGAGGTGGGGCTTCCATTCAAAGCCATGTTGACCTTCTCAAAGAAGGTCCCGGCCCAAGAGCAGAAGTGGATCCAGAGGTAGAAGAACCCCAGGTCCCTTTCCCAGCCTCTGTCAAAGCCATCTCCTTTCAAAGCCCACCTTTCCCACCACTCATGGGGCTCCCCACTTGCCCCACCATGCCACGTAGGGGGTCTCTGTATCCACAGTCCCCACCTGGGTCATGCCTCACTTTCCTGTGCCTTTTGCATGTTGGGAAAGGGTCTGGGTGTCACTGCTGCTCATGCTTAGAAATCACGGAAAGCCCTAATAAAGCATTGAGGAGGAGCAGTTGCCTTGCATTTCTGAACGTGTGCTGTTCATCTAGCTCTCATTTCCTAAGGTGGGGCCATACATGACACAAAGCCCCGTAACATCACACATGACGGTGTTCGTTTCTAGTTCTAGAAGTCACAATCATACCCGAATATATGGTAAAACACAAATTAACTTGTCATTTAACCACTCCATACATAAAGATGTATGTTTACACACGCATACCAAGTAAGGAAGAAAATGTTTATAGTTTTCCCTTCTGGGACTGATCACAAGGCCATTGCTGATATTTATAATGTCTCTTCTTTCTACTAATTATTCTATGCTCTGCTCTCTCTGCCCTCAGATAGTTGGAATATTTTGTCTAGTGAAACGACTTAAACTTGGGTGGATCCTTGGATGGCTGTATTCTGCTGTTAACCTTTTACAATTAAGTACTATAAGGGATCCCAGGTTTCCACATATGTCTTCACATCACCATTGGGTAGCAGCAACCTAATTTATTCTTGGAAATCACCACCAGTCACTGGAGCCAGTAGAGTAACCCATTTCTTCGTATGGTTAATGGTATGATGAGCTCAAAATGGCCAAGCAACACTCAACTTCTAACTCAGTTGAACTATTAATCCGTTCTCTAATAGAGACATTCTTCCCTTGGGAATGATAATCTGTAAATCATCAAAGTCCAAAGTTTCAAGGATGGGAAGTAAAACTTTTGTGAATGGGTTATTGGGTATAGTAGTGAGAGTAACCTCTTCCATCTCTGCACAGTTGTTGTTAGCTGTCATCGAGTCAGTTCCAACTCACTGTGATACTATGCACAACTAAACAAAACACTGCCTGGTCCTGAGCCACCCTCACAATTGCTGTTGTTTCAGTCCATTGCTGCTGTCACCACATCAATTCATCTCATTGAGGGCTTCTGAAGTATGAGAGGTGAAGTCTCACCATGCTGGCTTCTCAGAAGCATTCTGGTTGTACTTCTTCCAACACAGATTCGTTTGTTCTTCTGGCAGTCCATGGTACTTTATATATTCTTTTCCAAGGCCATAATTCAAAGGCATCAACTCTTCTTTGAGGGCCTTTCCTGTATTGCTACAACCATCCGCTTCCAGTTGGTGCCAGGTCCGAGAGTTTCTTCCTTCATCAACTGGTTCTGGGAAACTCACCATGAGGTCTTAGATGTTGATGGCAAAACAGGCAGCAAAGGGCAGGAATAGGTGATATAGTCTAATTCCACATGATGCTAGAAAGCTCTTGTGGACTAGCTTCATGGCTTTATGCATCAGATGACACCCAGTTAGGTCGTGATAGGAGCTCAAGTTGCATAGTCACTGGTGCCTTCTGGTCAGACAGTCAGTCTCTACCAGACCCAGCAGCAAGCCAGCTGTTTCTTAAATGGGTAACCGTTATTTGCAGAAGATGTTCTGCCTTTGCTCTAAGTCCTTGGGGTTGCTAGAGGCTCCATATAGCATCCTTACCTCACATACAATTTAACCACCACTGGCTCTGCTGAGCCATACATCTCAATATACAGCCTGAGTCTGTTTGGGGATCCATTCAAAACTGGAAGCCTTCTGGTTCACTCAGTAAATGGTTTGGAGCAGCATACACAAATGGAAGTATGTTGCCTCCTACATCCAAAGAGACCCATCAACGGTTATTCCTTCTTAGTGGTAGGTTCAACAACTTATCTTGCTTTGAGATATCTTGACATATCCCAGACGACTGGATCAGATCCCTAGAAACGTCACTAATGTGCCAGGCCTCTGAATTTCCTAGGCTTTCTTCTAGTATTTCTGGGTTTACTGGCTACTTCTTGCTAAGGAGTCCTGGTGGCATTGTGGGTTAACTGGACTACCTACTACAAGTCTCTCCATTGGAGAAAGATGAGGCTGTCTTCTCCCATAAAGAAAGCCTATAGTGCCACCCTGTCCTACAGGATCGCTAGGAGTTGAAATCGACTTAGTGCCAATGGGTTTTGAGTTTCCTGCTCACTTGGTATAGTATGATGGCATTAATGCAGTGGATCAGTGTTTTGTTTGGGGGACATCAGCACAATCGAGGTCTCTACAGATGAGATTAAGACAGAGAACAGAAAGGCTGACAGAGCCCAAAGTAAGAAAAGGACAATGTCGCCGTTGTGTTAAGTAAAAGCAAATGGTTTTGGGGAGTCCTCACTAACGGATACAGAAAATAGACACTTCGGGATCAAGAGCTGAATATAAAGTGCTAGAAACTATGTTAATTTGTTTAAATAAAGAAGCCTCATCTAAAGCACCAATTGCAGTTTGAAACATCTCCTAATTACGTTCACAATAAAACATAGCTCTTCTCCAAGACCCATCCATCTTTACAGTATTATTACCTTTAGTTTACTTCTGAGGTGTGTGTGGTGGTATATGCATGGGGGTGTAGCTCCAGGGTCTTATCCTTGGTTCTTCTACCTAAACATTCCTCACTCTAAATCAAGGACTTCTGTATGGATTCTGCCAATGTCAAATGTGTGTATGCCAATAATGTAGTCAGGACCTGGTGTAACAACCACAAGGTGGGTCCACAGATCCACTGACCTGCTGTGAGTCAGCCTCAAGTCAAAACTTCTTGATCACCCAACCTCCAGAAGTCCCACTTTTGCTTATAGTGACATTTTGGGTCCCCAGGGATTACATCAACTCAGAGCTACTGTCAAATGTCCCCTGAAAGCTCTGGGTATTTCTCGTTCTCCAGGAGTCACCCCAGGTAAATGGCAAGTCCCTATGGAGAGCTGAGAGGGAGACTTGTCATCTGTACTTGTGGCAGGGCCACGGGACTTTCCTCAAGGGAATCCAGCCTTCCATGCAGCCAGCCGTAGGGCTCCAGGACTCTGGACTAGCTCCTGTCTGAATGGGGAAGGAGGCTGTGATGACTTCAAGTTAGGGATCTGCTCGCTGGGAACTAGTCTTTTTATATAAATAAATCTATATTATTATACATATCTATTGTTGTGGTAGCATAGTGGTTACGAATCGGGCTGCGAACCTTACGGTCAGCGGTTCGAAACTACCAGCTGCTCCGCGGGAGAAAGATGAGGCTTTCTACTCCCGTAAAGATTTACACCCTCGAAAACCCTGTACAGGGTCGCTATGGGTCGGACCCGACTCGATGGCACTTAACAACAACAACAATTGTTGTTGTTTAAGTGCCATTAAGTAGGTTCTGACTCAGTGACCCAGTACTCCTCAGAACCCCTATACAGGGTCACTGTGGGTCAGAACCGATTCGACGGCACTTAATAACAACAGTAAGTGTGATCTGGTGTGGCACTGTGGGTTAATGCACGGGACTGCAAAGTCAGTTTGCATCACAAGGTCGGCAGTTCAAGCTCACCAGTCACTCCTCGGAAACCCTATACAGGGTCACCATGAGTTGGTATTGACTCGACTCGATGGCACTTAACAATAATATGTGACACTGTAGGATCAGCACTGGACTGCAAACCACAAGGTCAACAGTTCAAACCCACCAGCTGTTCCTTAGAAACTTTATACAGGGTCGCTAAGAGTTGGAACCAACTGGATAGCACTCGTTGTTCAAACAGACCTTGCAGTCGAGTGCTGTAGGCTCAGCACTGGACTGCAAACCATAAGGTCAGCAGTTCAAACCTACCAGCTGCTCCTCAGAAACCCTATACAGGGTCACTATGAGTCAGAACCAACTCAATGACACTTACCAACAACAACCTATATGTTGTTTTATATATATATATATATATAAACTTGGTGGTGCAGCGGTTAAGGTTCTGGCTGCTCACTAAAAGGTCAGACAGACCTGGTAATGTCCTGGGAGACAGACCTGGTAATGTCCTCCTCTAAGGACAACCCTGTGGGACAGTTCTTGATCCTATAAAGTTACTATGCACTAGAATCAACTAGATGGCAAATTCTTCTTGTTTTTAAGCTACCCATATATTCCATTTCTAAGGAGCTCTGGTAGCTAGTGGTTACGAGTTGGGCTGCTAACATCAAGGTCAGCAGGTCAAAATAGCTGTTCCGTAAGAGAAAGGTGAGACTTTCTGCTCCCATAAAGATTTACAGCCTTAGAAATCCTGTACAGGGTAACTATGAGTCAGAACCAACTCCACAGCACATAACCACCACCACCACCACCATATTCCATATCTAAAGACAACATCATCCATTGTTGTTGCTTTAAGTGACATTGAGTTGGTTCTGACCCATAGTGACCCTGTATAGGGTTTCCAAGGAGCAGCTGGTGAGCTTGATCCACCGACCTTGAGGCTCACACTGACGTTGCAGTCAGTGCATTAACCCACAGCGCCACACCAAGACTCCATTAACCTCCAGCAAAAATCCCTGTGGATCACAACTTTCCAATGGTTGCTCTGGTTCTGTTGCCCACAATGGTGGTGGTGGTGGTGGTTGTTAAGTACCATCGAGTCAGTTCCAACTCATAACGACCCAGTCTGAAACTTGTAAATTTTTGCAGGAGCAGAAAGCCTCATTGTTCTCCTGCAGAGCGACTGGTGGGCTTGAACCGCTGACCTTCTGTTTCACAGTCCAGCGCTTATCCAATGGAGCTACTATGTTTCTGCCCACAGTAGTTGTTGTTAAGTGCTGTCGAGTCGGTGAACCTGTATAGAGTTTCCAAAGAGCGGCTGGTGGATTTGAACCGCTGGCCTATGGCCAGGTCTTATCCTACAGCACCTCACCAGGACTCCAGCCACGATGGTAAGCACATGCTAACAACTACAACCACCTCCCACTGTGGGTCCCAGACTGCAGAGGGCGGCACCACAGGGCTTCTGAATCCTTCTGGTGCCTTGCTCCTGCCGCTTTCCTCAATCCCTCAGAGAAGTGAGCCTAGATCCTAAATGCATCCTAACATTTCCATCTCCTTTTGGCTCTTCCCCTTGGCATTGTTTTAGGGGAATTCAGTCAAGCCAGCCAAGCAGGTCACTCCATCACATCTCCAAGGCCTGGCACTTGTCTGCCCCGCCATCCCCAAGTCCACATTATTGCCTGGGAGCCTTCTCTCTAAAACGAGGCTGGCAATAAATCACTGCCA